ATTCTACCTTGGTGAGTAGTGTCTGGGGTCTTAAAAGCCTGTGAGCAGCCATCTAAGATACTCCACTGGTCTCATCCCTTCGGGAGCAAGGGAGAGTGAAGAGAACAGGATACAAGGGAAAGATTAGTCGGAAGGACTAATGGACCACAGCAACCACGGCCTCTACCAGACTGAGTCCAATACAGCTAGATGGTGCCCGGCTACCACCACCGACTGCTCAGACCGGCATCACAACAGAGGGTTCTGGATATAGCTGGAGAAGGATGTAGAACAAAATTCTAACTCACAAAAAACAGACCAGATTTACTGGCCTAATGGAGACTGGAGAAACCCTGAGACTATGGCCCCCAGACACCCTTTTAGCTCAGAGGTGAAGTGACTTCTGAGGTTCACCGTTCAGCCTGGGAGTGGACAGCCCCATAAAACCAAATGGGACTAATGAGGCACAGTAGTCCAGGGACAAGGGCTAGAAGGCAGAAGGGGACAGGAAAGCTGGTGATAGGGAACCCAAGGTTGAGTAAGGATAGTGTTGATGTGTTGTGAGTTTGTTAACCACTGTCATAGGGCAACATGTGTACTAACTGTTTAATGAGAAACTATTTTGTTCTGTAAACGTTCATTTAAAGTGAGAATACCAGCACAAGTGGAAGAGCGTAGTTGATGTCACTGAACTGTGCATGTAGAAATTTTTGAAATGGTCTATCATTGGCTATGTATATTCTCACCAAAAAAAAAGGTTGAGAAGGGAGAGGGTTGACATGTCATAGGGTGGTTAACCAATGTCATAAAACAATATGTGTACTACTGTTTCATGAGAAACTATTTGTTCTGTAAACCTTCACCTGAAGAACAATAAAAAAAAAAAAAAACTTCCCTGGCTGCAGCATATAGGAAAGAATAGCACATTTCTAAGACTCTATCCTGTAGTATATTAGTGAAACTCTGTTTAAGTTTGGAAATTGTATGGCATTGTATAAGCTCGTATTGGGAACATGGTTAACTACAATTATAATTTCAGTTATTGAAGAACATTAACCTTTAAAGAACTGTATCCTTTTCAAAATATGGTACTGGGATGATTGGATATCCACATTGGGAAAAAAAAAATTAGTTAGATCCCTACCTTATACCATATACAAAAATTATCTTAAAATGGAGTATAGACCTACATGTAACAGTTAAAATTGTAAAATTGGTAGAAGACAATACAAGAGTAAATCCTCATGACCTGAATTTGGCAGTGGTTTCTTAAAGCATAAGGAATAAAAGTAACAAAATACATAAGTTTGACTTTACCAAAATTAAAACATTTGTGCTCCAAATGACACTATTAATACAGTGAGAATACAACCTACAGAATGGGAGTAAATATTTGTAAATCTTGTATCTAATAAGGAATTTGTAAAGTATATTTACAACTGTGACTATACTAGAAACAGGTTAATTGTACAATTTAAGAGGTTGAATTTTATAATATATGGATTATATCATAATAAAGGTTCTTATACACAAAAAAGAAACTACATCCCGAAATACTTACCTTTATACTTCCCATATATATCAAATTTACAAGAGTAGAAATGGCCATTTTGATTAAGAAAACCCATCTGGAGACTGTGCTGTCTTTCCTGTAACTGGGGTATGGAGTAGACTAGAATCTGACTGCTTCCTAGAAAATTGTGAAATTAAATAAGATGGCTTACAAGCTGCTTTAAAGCCCAAAGTACATGATTTTGGGTATCAGATGTGGACTAATCAATAGGAATGCCAGGCAATACGACTCTAGAAGCAAGAACCCTTGGATGGAGAAATGAAAAGCAGCCAGCTGAAGGATAGATACACCTCATGTAAATAGAACAATAATTAGAACGGTCAGCAGGGGAGACTAAGAAGTTTGTGCCCTGAAAAGAAAGATACAGCCTTTAACATCTTCCATACTTTGAATGGAGCCCTGGTAGCCCAGTAGTTAAGTGCTACAGCTGTTAGCAGTTCAAATGCACCAGCTGCTCCTTGGAAACCCTATGGGGCAGTTCTACTCTGTCTTATTATAGGGTAACTATGAGTCAGAATTGACTGGAGAGCAACAGGGTGTTTTTAGACCTAGAATGCT